GTTTAGGACTTTTAAGAGCTCTAAATTAAATAGTGAAAAATTGTTATATATTTTACATTTCTGTGTAACAAATTAGTTCAAAACAATTTTGTTTTTCAGCTTGATTGAAAGTTTGGAGTTTTTATTCCCACATTGCTGATTAAAACTAAATGTTTGAGCATGTTGACACTTGTCAAACCTCAGAAAGTGTCCATGTTGTCTCCAGTGTCCTCTCCCACTTCCTCTATGATTAAATCCATGCAGATTTCAGCTGGTTTAACAGTATTTAGGTCACTTTGATCATTTCTGATTTGTATTCTAAACATTAAAAATGCTGTGGCAGATTATAAACTAACTGTTATCTTTAACCAGAATACACAGAACTGATTTGGTATAGAGTACTGTTGTAAACTTGAAACAACTTAACCGTATCAATTTTGAACAGTTTAAATACCATCTCCACAGAAACAATAAAAATGTCTGTCCAGGTTTTATTTCACTTTAACATAAATGGCACCTGAATCATTACGCAACATCAGTGAAGTAAGACATCTTGTATACTGATTAACTATGAAATCATGAAAATCATCTGTTTTCTTTCCACTTGTTGGCAGTGATAAAATGTACTTTATTACCAAAAGCCTGCAAACTAAATCCCCATAAACAGCAAATATATGTACAAATATAAACACCAAGCATCCACTCTTTGGTTTAAAGAATCTTTCTTAGAGGAACTTCATACGTTGGCCCTCATATCCTTTCATCAAATCTTTACCTTTGAACCTTTGAAGGATTATCTGAGAATGAGCATGAATGAATACAAGACCCTGMGGAGCCCCGTGACAAGTCAAGTGCTGATTATTGACTCCCATCTGAGCTGAGAACCTAATGATCAGGATCAAGGTCTAAAACTGCCTCCGATCCTTCAGGTTTGACATTAATCAGGATGCAGTTTGCTCTCAGTTTCTGTAACTTTGGATCTTTAAGTCTGCTCTGATGTAATCTGCAAGGTTTGTCCACTTCTGAGCTTCACATCACAATAATTCTCCCTACTGAAGAGAGAAGTAAAACTGTAAAATATATGAAGGTTAATGTATTTTCTTCTGTATCCACTACTAAATAGTTAATTCCCCACATCTAAACTTTGTCTTACAAGACAAAACCTCGGAAACACCTGTTTTAGTTTACCCGAAATGACCCAAAATGACAAAAAAAGTTAAAGAAGGAATAAGATTTGCTGCTTTAAAATCAAGTAAATATGAACACAACACCCACAACAGACTTGATGCTGGTCTTGTTTTGTAAAAAATCTGGTTTTACTGCCCCATCCACTCATTGTAAAACTTGATTTCCATCTGATTTCATAAATAAAGGTAAAAAAAAAAGCTGAACAATTTGGACTTTTGATCTTAAGAAATGTTATAAAGCTTAAGAGAATTCTTCAACTAAAAAAGGACTGAATGGAAGTAGAAATCCTGCAACTAACTGTAGGGAAAAGGTCACTTTACTGTTTGAATTTCAGTAAAGGGCTAAAAATCATGAGTCTCCACCACATCATTTTTATTTRCCATCAACAAACAGAAGAAAGGGAAATGAAAAGTCTAAAATAAAAAGCTGAGTACTTTGCCCAGACTCCATAAAAATGTTTAAAAGTTAGAATGAGTTGCACAAACACCTCCGAAACCTAAGAAACTGGTTGACAACAACATATAGAATCAAAATGTTCGCTGAAACATCTTGAAATAGCCACAACAAAACCATACAGACTTGAGAAGGAGATGCTTTTATTTACCTGCAAAAATAATTAATTTGTGTTTAGTGCAGATTTAAGTGCATAAAGACATCCATTCATTGATTATTAGGTATATTTCTGCACATTTCCAAACCTTATCAGTACAGTATCACACAGGACACATTTGTTTCTTTTCTTAATTGTGTGAGCTGTAAAAGTTAGACTGTGAACTTCTGTGCTGGAGCTGGGTGATGGAGGGCACCTGCAGCTGAAACAAGACATACTGTATAAATAAATAAATACATATATAATTTTTTTCATGTAACTGAATTTGTACTCCAACCATTACTCACCTCTATCTATTGCCATCACTTCTGTCACAGATAGTCAAATCAGCAGCTGCTTAAACAAAAACTTTGATTTCTTACCTTCCTAATAATCACAGCCTAATAATCAAAATGTWTATATTACAAATCAAATATGTGTTTGAAAGAAAACAAAATACAACTAAATGCACTTGTACTCTATTAATTTTTTTCTCACGTGTTTGAGGGTSCATGTAGGGTCCAGGTGAGGGGGTAACCAGGATGTGATTTATTTAGATCCATCTTTGTACTGTTGACTCAGTCACTGTCTGGGAGAATAAAACACTTTTGTTTTTTTGTAAAAAAAATACCTGTTTAATTCACAAAATCAAGCCAACAACTAAATTGCTGCTTCACATCCCTGTGTGGTGAAAGAAGATGAGACAACAGTGACATCTACTGGCAAAGCAATGAAATCACCCAAAAAGGTAAGAATCAACAAAAGATAGGAGCATTTTTTTAATGGTACAAAACGTTTATTTTTAAATATAATTTACAGGCATATAACAAAACAGAAATAATATAATTTTATCTTGTAAAATTGTGCACACACACATACACACACATCACAAAGACCACACATCCCCTGCTCTCCTGGCAAATGTGTTTTTGTGTGTGTCCCCCATTCTGTTGCACAGGTCTTCCTCTCTTGTGTTCTGTTTGTTTGTTTGTTGCAACAGATTGTGCTGAAATGTGATTGACTTCTGGGACTTATAAAACAAATGTTAGTATTACACAGCCATCACTTTTAGCAGTTTGTTATCTTATTACTTAGTATATTATCCAGATTACTTAGTTACATTTAAAAGGTCATCCAGTGCTTAGTACTATGGAACTATGAACAGTGGTTAATAAACAGAAAGTATGCTATGATGTCTTAAATTATACTGCCTTTTCACCTAATTAGATTTATACTGCCTATTTGTGTTATGACGTACTGCCTGTCCTTTTTTTTGTGTCATTTTTTGTATCATATAAAGCACTTTGCCTTACTGCTGAAAAGTGCTAAATAAACACATTTTACCTTACCTTACCTTAACTTACCTTAGCTTATGAAGGCTAACTGAGGACACTGTTAGTGACCAGTAAATAAAGGTACATAAAAAACACTTCCTTCAGGCTCTGCTTAGACATGGGTGTGGATCAGGGCTCGCCTGAAAAAGTAAACCTTGAGAAGTGTGGGTCTTACCAGATCTATCGAACCGTTTTGCATATTCAATCCAAGCAGCATGCTGTCATCTCATTTTACAGGAATACTCTGTGAGAAACAAACAGAACAGGTAAAGAAAAGAAGCTAATTTAGAGCAAAACACACATTTTAACCCCACATCATAATGTTTTACACATTTCATAACTATGAAAATGCTTTAAGAGTATCTTACATTAAAGATATATCCTGTATTTCTCAGTAAAACAACAACTCTGATCCACTGTAGTGCATGTGCACTCTCACTGACAAACCTCTGCTTTTACTTGAGGCGGTTGTTGACCTGCCATTAAAAATGTAAGACTGTGTGCATTTCTACACCAGTGGAGCAAAATCTGTTTCAACCGTGCAAAATTCCCAGCGAGTACCACAGCTTCTAAACCCGTTTCAAAACATCCAAACACACAACTTAAACTTCTTATTCACTGAATTTGTTTTGTGAAAGTTGCACTCAACCAACCACAGAAACAGTAATCAACCGTAATGCTGCTAAATGTCCGCACATCAGGCCAGTGGAATCAATTTCACACTTTATGCAGAGGAAACAGGCAAAGCAATGCTTTGTTTAGTGCATCTTGCATTCATTTTATTCTTTTTTTATATAAGTGTCTACTCATGTAAAATAGGTTTGCAGTTCTTGTTTTGAGCACACTGACTTTCCAAATGAAACAAAAGACTGATTTAGAACATGTTTATATTTTATTTAAAATAAGAACACAGTGACCATTTAGATATCAAAAGTTTTATATTTGTAATTACTTTATCATCACATACTGTATAGAACTGTGCTATGTCTCTGCTGATATGAAGAAAAAAAACAAAGGGGTTAATAAAGAGCTTGTCAGTGGATTCCAATAACTTGTCCAACAAAAACAAGAGAAAAAAACATTCACACAAAAAATAAAATTGATAGATATTTTTAAACTTCATCATTTTTTATATTTGATCCTATTGCATTAATCAACTGTATTAAATACACTCACCGGACACTTTATTAGGTACACCTGTCCAACTGCTCATTAACACTTAATTTCTAATCAGCCAATCACATGGCGGCAACTCAGTGCATTTAGGCATGTAGACATGGTCAAGACAATCTCCTGCAGTTCAAACCGAGCATCAGTATGGGGAAGAAAGGTGATTTGAGTGCCTTTGAACGTGGCATGGTTGTTGGTGCCAGAAGGGCTGGTCTGAGTATTTCAGAAACTGCTGATCTACTGGGAYTTTCACGCACAACCATCTCTAGGGTTTACAGAGAATGGTCCGAAAAAGAAAAAACATCCAGTGAGCGGCAGTCCTGTGGGCGGAAATGCCTTGTTGATGCCAGAGGTCAGAGGAGAATGGGCAGACTGGTTCGAGCTGATAGAAAGGCAACAGTGACTCAAATAACCACCCGTTACAACCRAGGTAGGCAGAAGAGCATCTCTGAACGCACAGTACGTCGAACTTTGAGGCAGATGGGCTTCAGCAGCAGAAGACCACACCGGGTGCCACTCCTTTCAGCTAAGAACAGGAAACTGAGGCTACAATTTGCACAAGCTCATTGAAATTGGACAAGAGAAGATTGGAAAAACGTTGCCTGGTCTGATGAGTCTCGATTTCTGCTGCGACATTCGGATGGTAGGGTCARAATTTGGCGTCAACAACATGAAAGCATGGATCCATCCTGCCTTGTATCAACGGTTCAGGCTGGTGGTGGTGGTGTCATGGTGTGGGGAATCTTTTCTTGGCACTCTTTGGGCCCCTTGGTACCAATTGAGCATCGTTGTAACGCCACAGCCTACCTGAGTATTGTTGCTGACCATGTCCATCCCTTTATGACCACAATGTACCCAACATCTGATGGCTACTTTCAGCAGGATAATGCGCCATGTCATAAAGCTGGAATCATCTCAGACTGGTTTCTTGAACATGACAATGAGTTCACTGTACTCAAATGGCCTCCACAGTCACCAGATCTCAATCCAATAGAGCATCTTTGGGAYGTGGTGGAACGGGAGATTCGCATCATGGATGTGCAGCCGACAAATCTGCGGCAACTGTGTGATGCCATCATGTCAATATGGACCAAAATCTCTGAGGAATGCTTCCAGCACCTTGTTGAATCTATGCCACGAAGAATTGAGGCAGTTCTGAAGGCAAAAGGGGGTCCAACCCGTTACTAGAGTGGTGTACCTAATAAAGTGGCCGGTGAGTGTATGTCTTTCTTGCAGCCATAATTGTCATCTCTGCAGCTTTGAGCTGCACTAACTGATAAGAAGCAACCCTGTGATTGGTCAAGATGCTTTTCTCTGTGCTCTGTTTGTAATAAATTGCTCAGCTTTCCCCAGCCAAGGTCAGAACTTTCTGCTGAGACCTGTCTTAAGCGTCCTCAGAAACTTCTCACTCTTTGCAAAGAGAAAACTGTTTTAAACTGAATACTCATGTCTGTGTCTGGTTCGTTTCTTTTTAAGGGGTAATTTAATGTCCAATCCAACAAAAATGACCACTCTTCTTCTTGAATTTGGATTAAAGTAACTTTTTGACCAAATAATCCTTAGCAACTCAGAAACATTTCCATTCACTTTTCCCCACATTCTCACCCTTCTTCTCCTGTTTGACTGATGGGACCTGGCTCCTCCTGCACAGATATCCTGGGTTGTAGTGAGGAGGCGGTTCTTCTGCTCTCCAGCAGGAACTGGACTGAACAGCTGCGGTTTGAGTGTCCCCTAAAGCAAAACAAAGACCACCGAATCTCACACTGCAGTACAAAGAAAAAACTATATGTTTTGCATTACATGAGATAAAATTATGCAATTTTACTACAATGAAAGTCAATATAAGATACCAACCTAATTAGTTCTCGAGTAAAAACAATATCCGGTCCCATGATCCGATTTAGATCGAGGGGGAAAAACACATTAACATTTCTCTGTTAATACCCACTGGAACACTGGTTTGGGTCTGGGTTTGGGGTCTTCATTTTCACCTGAAGGTTGCATGGAATCCTGTCTGTGTTTCCTGTCTGCTTTCARGAAAGCCCAGTCAGGATAACCATACTGCTCCAGGGCCTGTCGTGTGTGTGATTTATCTTTCTCMCTGTCTCCTGGGTTTGTAGGGACACTGTCTGCTCTGTGGTACACAGTCCTGATCACTCCTAACCAGTGGTTATTCCGTATGTTGCGGGTGTTTCGGAGAAAATGAGACGTTTATTTTCTAAACATGATGTCCCAGTGGCTTTCAAACCCCAAAACGCATTACGGCAAAGGCTGGTTCACCCCAAAGATCCGGTGCCCCGGCACAAACAGAGCAATGTTGTAYATGCTGTTAAGTGCCAGGAGGACTGCGACCAGTTATACATCGGGGAAACAAAGCAACCACTATTCAAAAGAATGTCCCAACACAGACGAGCTACATCTAATGGCCAGAACTCTGCAGTTTTCACTCATTTACAGGCCAGCGGYCACTCTTTCAGAGATGAGGATGTTCTCATTCTTGATAGAGAGGAACGTTGGTTTGAGAGAGGAGTAAAAGAAGCCATTTTTGTGAAGAAAGACCGTCCATCATTAAACAGAGGTGGAGGCCTCCGTTTTCAGTTGTCCCCCTCCYACAGCGCGGCTATTGCCAGTATCTCTCCACCCCCTGTTAACATTAAGTGTTAATTAGGTGTCAACGATAGCCATGTGATGTGAGTATCAGTCACATGGAGGCAGTGCTTAAAAGCCTGAATTTTGCCTGAAACTCTCAGACTGAAGAAGTCTCTTGGAGGAGAGACGAAACGTTTCATTAGAGAAGAACCCGTCCAGAGGACCTATACAATWTTTTTTCTTTTTGATTTTTTTACCTGGATTACTGAGATGCATCAGGACGCTTCTCTTTGTTGTCAAGGTATTTTTCTTAAACAATAGCAAAGTAGAGAGACAAAAGAAGATACTAAAATAATACTTCCTGTGAAGAAAAAACATATTTTTACTCATGAAACTTCAGAAAATACATCTTTAATGATATTTTATGTTAAAATAACAGATTTATAGGCTCACCTGGGACATGATGGGAGGGGGGAAAAACTATAAAAAATACTGTGACATATTGTAATACTGCCATTTTTAAGGATTTATATTCCCTTTTTTGTTAAGTTTTTGTTTCTCCTGATTAGCATCACTTCAGTTACCCTCTTTATGTCTTAATTTTCATTAGCCTTCTTTACTCCTTAACATTTTCATTGCCATTAGATAAAACATTTTAAATAGTATAGGTTAAAATAATACAAAAATAGGCCATACATTTAAGATTAGGTAATTTTCTAAATGAATTTGATTAGGTTTTCATTTTACTGTAGCTAACAAATAATATTCCAATGAGCAAAATAGCAATAAAAACACCAGTTTAATTATAAAATAGCTCAGTTGTGTTAGGCCACCCTAAAAAACTGATATAAGCCTACAGAATAAAAAAAAGACTAATAAAACAATAAAACTTGCAGAGTAACATTGGAAATTAAACAAAATAACAGGATAATAATAATACAGGAGGAAGTTTTTTTGTATTTCATAATTAAATTACATTTAAACTAATAATAAATGTACAACAGTGAACAGCCTATTAAATTAATCTGGTTGAAACAGTTTAAACAATCTTCTCTGTCACATTATTGGCACGATCTTAACCTTTTTACTCACTTTAACCAAGCTAACATACAGCCTTCATTAACTGTGTCCTCCCACAGCTGCGTGTTAATTAGCTTATGTTTAAATCAYCCAACAGCGAGAAAAAACACAAGAAAAACAAGGRAAAAAAAGGTAATATTTAATTCAAAGTAACTACTTATCTGTGTGTTATAGTTTCCTTCCTCAGTGTCACTCATTGGTTGGTTTAAAGTGTTTATTGTTTTATTTTTCATCTCGATAAACGTAATTTTTTGCGCAGTCCAACACAATGTTTTGTTTCTGGAGTCGCCTCAAACATGGCGAAACGAAAAATRTATGGCAGGCCGGTGTACCATATATTCATGATCCCAGCTCTTCAAGATCAGATTTGAGCCTTCCTAGTCAAAATAGCTCAAATAACACATAGCTCAAAAATTAAGTTCGTCAGTGGTTATTTGCTAACAGGTATCGTCATGTAGCAAAAACAACAGATCTTTGTTTGAAATTGATGATGTTAAAAAGTTCAAAAACTTCTAAAACAAACGTTATCAAACTATTGTAAAGCAGCATAATTTTAACAATTAGCAACACAAAATCCCATCTTAACAAGCTTTTAGAAACTATCACTATATTGACAAGAATAAAAAGGTATATTTAAAATAAAACATGGGTTTTGATTTAAACATAGAAATAATATTAACCTGTTCTACCCGACGGGCTGGAGGCATAAATATCTGAAGATGTTTAAATTAGGCTACAACATGGACAAAATTATTGATATTCTTGAATTTTAAAGCCTCAAACCCTTGTTTCACTTGGTGCCACAATAAATTGATTCACCATACACCGAAACCACAATTAGCACATCTACACTTGGCCACCTGTATTAATGTTAACCCAGCCAAAAGCTTTGGTTTAAAAATTTCCCCTTAACTTAGTTAACACTGTCTGTTGGCAAAATATCTCATGCACTATTGCACACAATTGAAAGAAACTTGCAGAAAGTGATCATTGTGTACATGTTATTAACGTTTGAAATTAACCCAGTAAAAGATGGCCACCACAACAAAAAACAAAAAACGACTAAGTCAGTAAATTTAGCAGATGTTGTGGTAGAATATGATGCATTTCTAGGAATACTAGAATTTTTTGTTAAATGTTTCCTAAATTTCAGTTGACTTTATCTCATTTGAATATATGTTACAACGGCCTGCCATACTTGATATACAGGAGCGCCTGACGTAATTTTCCGTCCTTTCTGCAACTTGAAACAGACTAAAAAATACTCTTTACATAACAGTAATGAGACAATTGATTCCATGTCTTCTCTAGCTCACTGAATCTGAATAGTTACATTGTCTTTGTGACCATGATGTGTCCAAGAGATTTAAATTTTTAATTATCTATACAAAAAAACGAGAAGCAAAATGTTTCACGCAGTTATTAGTGAAGCTACCTTAAAGGAGCTGGGTGATCTTATCTAACATTCCAAAGCACTGAAGAAACATTTCCAAAGATGATGCAAAGTTTATTTTTAATTACATTATTTGAAATGACCCACACTGAATCTGTCACAAACCATTTTCAAACAATGTTGATAAAAGCGTTACTCGTCTCTGTGGTAGGAAAAAAGTCAGCATGGTGAGGAGTGAATCACAGATTTTCTTCATTTTGGCTACAATCTGGGGAGGTATTTTACTACATTTTTAGCATTACAGAGACCAAAAAGAACTGGAAGAAGTCTTCCAGAACCTGAACTCCCACTACCCCACCCAAAACCCTTTGAAAGACCAAGTTAGATGAACCCAGTTATTTATTTTTTTTTAGAAGTCACAGTGCAACACGAACCCTGAACATGTGCGAGCAGTTCAGCCCCCCTAAACGTTACGGGTCTATGGACTGAACGGTACATTCAATGTTCTTCAGGTTCTCAATTAAAACAGCCCAGAGCGGCACACAGGAGCCATTAAAGTGAAACACAGCTAGCACACACACACACACACACACACACACACACACACACACACACACACACACACACACACACACACACACACA